TGTTTCAATCAAGTGAGCAAGCCTGACCTTCAGGAAAGACTGAGGATGAGGATGGATGTAATGACGATGATATTGGTATAAGGACTGCTGCAACAATTCATGGGATGGTGGTGACAGTACTGAAGACTGTTTGCGTGGTCTAGGCATAGAGCATGTATCTGGTCTGAGGAAATGTCGCAGGCCGCGTCATATCAAAGGCAGTTAAAATACGGTGCTTGTTGGTACCCTGCCTGGTGCTATAGAAGCACAGGTCGACTGGCGCATGGTTTCTCATCAGACCCCGATTTCTCGACACAAACTTATTTACTCAAATTTCAAACTGAGTTTGACAATTTGAAACAGCTGAATTTTTAACTCAGCTGCATTTTATAAATAAAAAAGCCCAAACAACTTAAGTAATCTATCCACCAAACTCAAATTGTCTACTATGTTTGAGTTTAATATCGATTTCAGTTCATTCTGGGAAATGCATTTTCGCAAATTTGAGTAAAAACTTGAACTTAAGTCAAAACTTAAGTTTGTTTCAAGAAATCGGGGTCAGACCAACACTGTAAGACCAGCATCAGTATAACTAGTGACACTCAAGTCGCTATATAAAAGCAATAATTCTGAACGAGAAATTAAACCCCATTTCAATTGAACTTGATGTTGACACATATAAACTATACAGTCAGCAGGTTCCTTTTATATTGCCCTGCCTCTTCAAAATTTCAGTTTTATTTGAAGCACCGAGCTATTTCCACGTCACGGGGGTTAAACTTGCAGCTCCATGAATTCCTTACTTGGCACTTAAGTGTTAATACAATTAAAAGTAACCCTTCACCAGTGGGTGATATACCACCTCAAGTTTAAATTTAGCACATAGATTATATTTCTACCATAACTAGCATTAAATTCAAACCACCCCACACACCACACACACACCCCACACACCCACCCCACACACCCACCCACACACGGCAGGATAAGCTGGCGGCCTTATAATCGAATTCATTCTAGACTAACAGCTCCGTACCTCTTCTCTTGGACTTCAAAAACGTTTCATATATAAGTTTTTCTTTATCAGAAAAACATTATTAAATGCTGATAGGTAATTTTCTAACAGAGGTAATCATCAAAATACCGCACACTGTTGGGGTATCGGTATACACAATGTCAATAGTATCCCAATTGTGAGTTACAATACAAAGAGGCGCAAGATAAACTTGATCTAAACATTACTAAAGTAGAATACACCACGTTACACATCCTAATCCATCTTACAAAGGCGCGTCCTTGACTTGTTCTTATATAAAACAAGGTCAAGGTCTTTTGTAAGTCGAGGGGCAAAGGTGGGGCTTTAGGTTTCGGTGGCAAAGAATTTTATGGGGTATCCAGTTTCAATGTCTCAAAAAGCTAATCCCACAAATTTGTTATGTGACGAAAAAGTAGAATGAGTAAGTTAATATTTATCGTCACATCGGCAATGTTTCACCCATATTGTGACGAGAAAACGTTTGACGTTGATAAAGAATGTGTGTATATTATATAACTTGTCGTCATAGGACAGTAAAACAACTAGATTATCAGAGTTAGAATTAAAATAGTATGTTAAGTTAAAACAAATAGCATTTTCTTGGACAATACAATATAAAAACAGGCTGTAGATCGCCAACAACTGAAGGTAGATCACCATACCAGGGACTTACAGTACCTTTGCTAGCTGTATGGACCCTAACTGGAATTACACCACCCTTTCAGCCGCTGGCGATGGTAGGAAAACTGAGCCATAATTTAAAATAACAAATATTCTACGATTACAAAGGCTTGGTAGAGCTAAACTGACCAATAAAATAGAAACATTTTTGTCTAATATGAAGCGTTCATTATCCGCTTGCTGTATCGTGAGCAATAGTAGTTCCTGGACAGAGGTCAAAGAGTGCAAAGGCTCGTTGCCATTCGGGCCCAGATCGATAAACAACTTTCATCACTCAAGCGTTGCCAGGCTTGTAGCGTTGACCATGAATTCTTCACGAATCAATACCAGCATGGCCTTGTAGAAGAACATGCGTACATTACTCTAAAGCAGGTTATAGTGAACTCAAAAGGACCAACCGTAGTTACAACCTTAGGTACAACCATAAGTACAACCGTAGTTACAACCGTAGTTACAACCGTAGTTACAACCGTAGTTACAACCGTAGTTACAACCGTAGTTACAACCGTAGTTACAACCGTAGTTACAACCGTAGTTACAACCTTAGGTACAACCATAAGTACAACCGTAGTTACAACCTTAGGTACAACCATAAGTACAACCGTAGTTACAACCGTAGGTACAACCGTAGTTACAACCTTACAACCGTAGTTACAACCTTAGGTACAACCATAGAATTACAACCGTAGTTACAACCGTAGTTAAGCCGTAGTTACAACCATAAATTACAACCGTAGTTACAACCGTAGTTACAACCGTAGTTACAACCGTAGTTACAACCGTAGTTACAACCGTAGTTACAACCGTAGTTACAACCGTAGTTACAGCCGTAGTTACAACCGTAGTTACAGCCGTAGTTACAACCGTAGTTACAACCGTAGTTACAACCTTAGGTACAACCATAAGTACAACCGTAGTTACAACCGTAGTTACAGCCGTAGTTACAACCGTAGTTACAGCCGTAGTTACAACCGTAGTTACAACCTTAGGTACAACCATGTAGGTACAACCGTAGTTACAGCCGTAGTTACAACCGTAGTTACAGCCGTAGTTACAACCGTAGTTACAACCGTAGTTACAACCATAAGGGTACAACCGTAGTTACAGCCGTAGTTACAACCGTAGTTACAACCGTAGTTACAACCGTAGTTACAGCCGTAGTTACAACCTTAGGGTACAACCATAAGTACAACCGTAGTTACAACCGTAGTTACAACCGTAGTTACAACCGTAGTTACAGCCGTAGTTACAACCGTAGTTACAACCATACCATAAGTTACGTGGTTACAACCGTAGTTACAACCGTAGTTACAACCGTCAACCGTAGTTACAACCGTAGTTACAACCGTAGTTACAACCATAGATTACAGACCATATAAGTACAACCGTAGTTACAACCGTAGTTACAACCGTAGTTACAACCGTAGTTACAACCGTAGTTACAACCGTAGTTACAACCGTAGTTACAACCTTAGTTACAACCGTAGGTACAACCGTAGTTACAACCTTAGGTACAACCATAAGTACAACCGTAGTTACAACCGTAGGTACAACCATAGTTCGACCGAAATATAGAGGCCGAGGAAAAACACGTCGTTATTTCCGTCAGTTCGTTATAAGCGTTTTTGTCATAAAGGTAGTTCAGAAAGAATTAAATGTTACTGCAGGAGTTCCTCAAGGATCTGTCCTTGGTTCATTTTTGTTCCTTGTGTACATCAATGATTTACCTGAAACTCTAACAAATGTCACAAGACTGTTTACCGACGACACTTCAATTGGTGTTGCAGGAAAAGATGTAAAAAACATAGAAGCTGCTCTTAACTATGATTTAGCAAAATTGAATGAATGGGCTGAGAAATGGTTAGTTAAGTTTCACCCGAATAAGACAAAATTCATGCTTTTAAATATGAATATGAATATTATTCAGCACTTAACAGTGAATTAGCACTGAATGTTGGCTTCTATCAGCACTAATTAACTAGTGTTGGCGCCCATTCAGTGCTAATTAACTGTTAAGTGCTGGCTTCTATTTGTTCCATTGTTTTGCCTGCATCTTTGTTGTCTTACTACTATTGTTGTTCTTACATGTACATATATGTGCTCTCTGCCTCATACTATTCATTCACCCGATGAAGGAGCAAGAATATACTCCGAAACGTTGTGTTCTTTATAATAAAGAAGTTGACATCCATAAAATTCTCTTCCTTAAGTGAAAGCGATAAAACCATTTCCGAAATCAACGTAAAAGCACCGCTGGACAATTTCGACTACACACTAACCATGCGTTACACTTTAAGTGGCTTTGTGTCTACTAATATCTCTAGTTTGTAATCATTGTAAGTGTCCGGCAGGTTGAAATATTTGTGGTTGTTTGTATCTGTAGCCTGAATAACCTGTTTACAAACAGTACCAGATAAATATAGCGATTCATAAGAAATCTCTACTTTCAGCAGAAATCATTGTACGATACCGACTGTTTCCTAAGCATGTTTCTATGAATCGTTATCAGATAGATAGTAATGGTACCAGGTCTTTCGCTATTGAAAGGTTATTAAATTTATCTGGCTTGTTTTTTACAATTTATTTGTGGTCATTTTTGTTTTGGGTTTTATTTTTGCTTTTGAATCCTTCGGTTCTTTGTTAACAGGCACTTCATAATACCATGTGACCGAAGCGACGTAAATGTACCTCACTCACAACATATTTTAAAGCTCAGTTTATCAGAAAAACGATCAGAATGAAAATCCAAAAAGTAAGAATTACGTACCCCTCGTTTTTTAAACGAAGTCTATTAAGGTTAAGGGCGTGATATTCATACAAGTGGAATGCAAGCTTTAAACCGAGCAACAAATTGAAGTATATACATGTATATATGAATTTCGTGTTTTTTAATTATTTTGTGGATTTCTTTATATTTATATAATTACAACATGAGGATCTGCAAGTTACTGCAGTTGAAGTGCAATCGTTCCCCAAAATATATTTCTGCTGTATCACATTGCGAAAACAGCGCGACATGCAATTGATTGTAACTGTTAAGTGCTAATTAACTGTTAAGTGCTAATTAACTGTTAAGTGCTGGCTTCTATTTGTTCCATTGTTTTGCCTGCATCTTTGTTGTCTTACTACTATTGTTGTTCTTACATGTACATATATAAGCTCTCTGTCTCATACCATTCATTCACCTGATGAAGGAGTAAGGATATACTCCGAATCTATTATATATAGGTTTAAGATGGTACAGCGTTACATCATAAGCTGACGATTATCTAGAAATGATGCATAGAACATATATTCACTGTACCTGTCTGTTGTCGTCTGCGTTTGCTTCCACTGCTCCCGAGATGTGAGAATTATTGTGCCGTGTGAAACCTACTGGGCTCACGGAGATACAAATCCAGCTAAAACCAGAAATATCTAGTCTGGGCTCGCTACATTTCGATTTCAACCAAGCGAGTCAGCTGACTGTTCAGTGGGGTGTGACCACACCTTGAAGGCTGTATAGAGTTTGGCCTCGATATGGGACGTTAATAAAACCAGTTGTAGGAGCATGCGCAATCTGCTTACAAATGATCAGTTCATCGAGTTGAGACTACGATGAGTGTGTAAGGTTTGTGTTGTGGTTTTTGTACACAAGCGTTCAGATAGAAGTGAGGGTTTAGGGAGTTTAGTTTTATGCCGCACTCAGCAATATTCCAGCTATATGGCGCGGTCAGATAGGAGTAGACTGGAAGGTTGTTTAACAAGTTGTAGCGTAAAGTAAATCGATATTAGATGGAATAAACAGCCGATTGAGGCAGTTACTGCAAGGCGGACACAGAAGTGAGTGAGTGAGTTTAGTTTTACGCCGCACTCAGCATTATTCCAGCTATATGACACGGTCAGATAGAAGTAGGCTGGAAGGCTGTTTAACATGTTGCCGTAAAATATTAGACGGAATAAACAGCCGATTGAGGCAGTTACTGCAAGGCGGACGCAGAAGTGAGTGAGTGAGTTTAGTTTTGCGCCGCACTCAGCAATATTCCAGCTATATGACGGCGGTCTGTAGATAATCGAGTCTAGACTAGACAATCCAGTGATCAACAGCATAACCATCGATCTACGCATCAGGGATACGATGACGTGTCAACCAAGTCAGCGAGCCTGACCACCCGATAGTCACCTCTTACGACAACCATGGGTTACTGAAGATCAGTTCTAACCCGGATCTTCACGGGTCCGGACACAGAAGAATGAAGTTTAAGTTAGAGTTGCAGCGCAAGCTGCGGAGGAGAGGCTGGGGTTTGTGGGTTCGAATCTCAGATTCTCTCCTACTATTGGAAAATATTTGCATTTCACACAGTGAGTGAGTGAGTTAATATTTAACGTCACATCGGCAATATTTCAGCCATATCGTGACAAGAACATTCGATATTGAAATGAAATATATGTATATTATAAAAAACCTGCCGACGAAGGACAGTAAAACAACTAGAATATCACAGATATGTATGTAAAACTAGTAATTAAATCTAAAATATGTTACTTTTAAATGACAATACAATATAAAAACCGGCTATAGATTGCCAACATCAGAAGGTAGATCACCATACTAGGGACCATGGGGACTTACAGTACATTTGCTTCCTGCATGGACCCTAGCTGGATTTTACACCATCCCTTCAGCCGTTAGCAATTTAGCAAATCTAGCATTTCACACAGAGTGTCAGTTTAATGACAGAGGGTTTTGTCACATTCAAGGTAAGGTAAGCATGTGAAAAAGACGAGGCAGTTGTGGATCCACCATAGAGGGTCGGGTGTGGTTTACTTAATGGGCATCCATCGTTGCCATGGATACAATGTCAGGATAGTCTGTCAGCTCAGATTCGGTGAAAAGCAAATTCAAGTTTATTATTGTGAACAATCTTCAGTCAAAGTAAATTTCAACAACATTTTTTCCTCATACTCCTAAATACAATTAGGACATACATACTTATACGTACGATTTATAAACAATATTGTGATATCTGATTAAAGGAAGTCATCGCGCTGTACCTTAAAACAGGTACCTCTATGTTTGTTTTCTGCACCCAATGTGATTTTTTATCTGAGTAAAGTGCGAAGTGCGTGATGCGTAGCACAAGCAGCGAAGATTAAAGATTAAGAAACGAACATTTTTTAGATGACCCCCGACTCGAAATGCTTCACAGTACAATACATCATGATGAATTGTAATGTGAAGCATTTCGAGTCGGGGGTCATCTCAAATTTTATATATCCTCGCAAAGACACGAGGGCCTGTGATGCGTAGTGCATCAAACAACACTTGATACTAAAATAGTACTAGCCGTTTCTATGCACGCGTGCTGCGTAGTACATAGTGCGTGGTTTTGCTTACGCTCAAAAAGTGTCCGAAAACGCATCTCGCAGCTTTAAGGAGGCCGGAAGTAGGCATTCCCAAGGGGTTTTCCCAATGTCACGTGGTTTTCATTGCGCACACACAAGTTGTAAAATGCCAAAGAATTCGGTAGCCGATATACTTCTTGAACAATTAGTTGAATTCGTTTAGACATTCTTAGCAGTCGATTTTTTAGCTTTTGTATGATGGTTTAGACAAAACGTCGTTAAATAACTGTTACAATACACAGTACCAAACAGATGATTATGATGTTGATCACTTGATTGTCTGGTCCAGATTTGAAGGTTTACAGACCGAAGCCAAACAGCTGGAATATTGCTGAGTGTGGCGTTAAGCAACAAAAAAAGAAACACAACCCAAACGAACAAGATAAAGAAAGTATACATTTGAAAATGGCATTTGACAAGAAATACAGACTTCATCAAGATGTAACTGAGTGCGTGAGTGAGTCTACCTTTACGCCGCTCTTAGCAATATTCCAGCAATATCACGGCGGGGATACCAGAAATGAGCCTCACACAGTGTACCCATGTGGGGAATCGAACCCGGATCTTCGGCGTCACGAGCGAACGCTTTAACCACTAGGCTTCCCCACCGCCCTCGGTTTAAGGAGAACCAGGTTCATTCTCGTATCAAATACAGCCCGTGTCCTTTTTACTTTCAGTCACAAACAAACAGTAGTTATAAGCACAGCCCCGTGATACGAAACTAAAAATACGAAACGAAAAATACGAAACTAAAAATACGAAACGAAAAATACGAAACGAAAAATACGAAACTAAAAATAATCACTCCTGCTTTGTCTCGCGCGCAGTGAACAAGGTGTGTACAGACACCGGCTGTTTCCCACAAATGAAGGCGAAAATACCAACGTATTGGAAATATTTCTTTTGTCATGTGATAAAGAAGAACGCATAGATCACGAAAATTGAGAAGAAGATCAGATCGTCTTTCTATAACTTGAAACCGCGTCGGCTGCTAGACCACCTGCGGATGTGGACAATGCGCATGCACCGGATGCTTCCTTTTGCACTGGAGTAGAGCTGCAGGAAAATAGCGTTTTTTTATCCACATGTTTGCCTGTACAGTTTCTAGTGCAGCAGTGTTAATACACCTTGAGAATATTCCCGAGGAATTCTAAACATGACCTTGGGTTGTGAAAGTGTGTTCCCCGGGAGCACTCATGTGATAATAGATAATAGGTGTAACTTTATCCAGGGATTGTGTGTATATAAAGCAGGGTGTATTACGTAACATGCGCCCCACTAACAACATGAAAGTAGTGTCATCTAAAGGCAATTGTACAGGATAGAATGAGCATTTCGAAATGTGCTGCTGTCACGATTAGAGACGGGTAGGCTCTGAATTACTTGTTTGAATAAACAATGAATGTGTGCATGAAGGAACGTTAGGAAATATTACACCCGGAAGTCGATAAATGTGTATATAAATGTGTGGGTGCATACATATACGTGCGTGCGTGCGTGCGTGCGTGTACTAGCCGCCAACTAATTAACGTGAGACTAACAAGCCAATCAATTCATCAGTCAATATGCCAATCAATCAGGTCCAGGATGCTAGGATGAGTGAGTTTAGTTTTATGCCGCTTTTGGCAATATTCCAGCAATATCACGGCGGCAGACACCAGAAATGGGCTTCACACATTGTACCCATGTGCGGAATCGAACCCGGGTTTTCGGCGTGACGAGCGAACGCTTTATCCACTAGGCTACCCCGCCACCCCTTTCTCGATTTAAAGTGAAAAGAGACACTACAAACAACTATGGTTACACGAAATTCCAATTCCTTGTTTCATCAGAAAAAGGTATTTACAATGGATTTTAATTTTAAACTTTAAAATAATCGTATTTCTATATTTTATGCCGAGGTTTAGGCAGCATGTCGTTAACTAAGACGTCACAGACTGCCCCTGTTTGATGAGGTCGTACTATGATTCGCAATTCATCTAGCTCACTGGTTGCACCTTTTATGTGTTTTTGCGCTTTTTAAGTGTATTTTTGTAACGTACAAAGCGATTGATATAATATCAAGGCAGTACAAGATCGCCAAACGTGTCTTGCGACCAAGCCTCGTTTTGATATTTCCACGATTTCCAGATTTCCGTCACACTCCGGCGCAAGGAACTCTGGGTAGGAGAGTGGATTTCCGTTTGTCAGAGCACGCTGTACGACAGACACGCTGCACGACGTGGTAGCAAGGATAAGAAGGAGTATGTGATTAGATTTATTAATATTTATACATCCATTTGAATGAGTTGGTCTCAAAATTATGGACTGGTTATTGTACTAAGCTGCGCAATAGGACGGAACCCAGTCAGCAGGAAGCGAGACTGTTGTGTAATGGGGTGGGTGGGTGTGTGTGTGTGTGTGTGTGTGTGTGTGTGTAGTAATCTCACCATAAACTCATCAACTCTGATTGAGTTGGAGCTGGGGAAGCCGTTCCCGTCTGAGACTCGCAGGATGTTCCTTCCTTCCTTCGGGCTTTTCTCCCTCAGTAAACATACCGGTGACATAACGGGAACACTATGCAGCGAGGCGTTAAACCTCACTATCTGACTCAAGCGCTAAAACAAATGCTATAAGACGAATAAAGCCACAGATACGTTTGTTTTTGCATACAATAATTTCATCATCAAACCGTAGGATACATTTGTATATAAAGAAAATATTACGTGAGAAATCCCGACCAACGAACGCTAGTTAGTTCGGTAGTTCTTAAACACGTGGAAATAATCTGATAGGAACGTTACCAATGCCAGTGCACTTTGGGAAACGACCTTGGCATCGATGGACTTATTGTACAACATGGCATTCGCTCCAAGGTAAAGCTTCCGAGTCACTGTTCCCGCTTGGTCCAGAAATATTACCACTGTTCGCTCGTGACCTTGTTTCCTCGTTCTCGAGAATCAAAATGTATGGAGTTCCGCCAAACAGCGTCATGCACGTGGGGTATTCACACGTACTATTTCCCTAAAAACAAATTTCCACTGACACAGACGAGATAATGCGTGCTCCCGTTTCTTATGCACGTGACGTAGTTTAGTCATACCTCCTTGTTATTTAAGCACCAGTTTGACTTTACTCTTAA